GATACTCATTTTATTCTTCTGTGAGGCCGTATATAAGTAACATCGGTTTATTACACCTTTGTCTTATTGATTAATGGACAAATTTCATTTACTTATTAAATAATTTAGGATGAAACTTTTTCTAGAAAAATATGTTTTTTCTACCTGTGGAAATTACTCACACCTCGATGTAATAAATACAAATTCGAAACACGTCCTGCCTTTTCTGTTATTAGGTAAAAATAGTGTGACATTTAGTTACTGAATAATAGAAAATTAAAATTTCCTAATGAGTGTCTTTGTTGTTACACATTTGACTTAAAAAATTTCTTCATAGAATTGTATTGCAACATTTAATTACAGAAACAGCGCTATTATCCAGCAATAATCTTGAAAAATAAAACACCTTCAGATTGCCTTGATGTCACTTGATATCGATAAGGACTCGCAGTGTACAATGGCGGACGAGCTTATTCGAATGATGAAGAATCCCAAGTGTGCTTTGATAATTCAATTGCTTTCACGTTAACTCATTGGAAGTTCAAAGTAAATTTTCACACTGTCTTTAAATCACACCGAATGACCGCAGATAAATCTACAGCCTCGGTACAAAAACACCTTCACCCGTTGTACTACAACGTTAATAATTCACCCTCAACACGTCCCGAAGCTGATCGTTCAACGGTTTCTTCACCATCCGTTGGAAACATACGTGAACAAATTCTCACATTGTCTTTAAATCACAACCGGTGGCACCAGACAAATCAACAGTCACCATAAAAACATTATCATTCATCGTACTGCACATTAATAATTCGCCCCCAACGCTGGAACCCCAAAAACACATGTAAAACATCAGCACACCGGGACATTCGTCACATCGAGTCTGACGCAACACTATCGTTTCACCATAACCTAACTTTCCTCGTCGACCAGCCAACTATGTCTCAAACGGTCAAATCATTTCCCCCTGTCGATCCAGTCTCGGACAATTATTTATCCGCACTAGTATTCCAGCGGGACGAAAACGAAGGAGAGAAAAAAAAAGAGGAGGAGGGCATCCTCGACTTCGACGCGTAGTCGAGAATAGGGCTCCATGGGTGCCGGCTGTCAGTGGCAGAGGGGGGATGGCGGCGGGGGTAAACGGAGAAGTTAATCGGCCTCGGTCGTTTAGTTTCGCTCCGTTTAGTTATATTTGGTTTCCACGGGGGCGGCAAAGAGGAGGGACGTGGTTCACAATTAGTCGGCGCGTAACTCTGGGCTGATTTAGTGGCGTGCCGCCGGCTACGAGGCGGCGAGGACGACGCGCGTGTCACTCTTCCAGGATGCTCTTGCCAAATGTGTTACGACCTGACCGCGTATGTCAGCCGCATCTTTACACGCGCGGCTGCTCGTGATAATCGGCGATGACTATAACTCACGAGTGACGAATGGGCCGCGAATTTCTTTACTGTAGTCGGTGAATATTCGATCGTATTAGAACATAATAAGGTTTAGATTCTAATAATGTTTGCGAAATTATACTAACACGAGAACGGAGGAACGGTCGAGGAAAGTGTGTGTATAATTGAGGTGCTTTTTGGCAAAATGGTGAATTGAGTAAATTGCAATGGAAGTTTCAGCTAGCTTGCGGATCAAATCTGCACGATTCAACAATATATTGCTATAACGATAAACATACATTTGCTGCCCTAACCTCTAATGGTGTAATATGAAACGAAATTTGGAAGATCTCTAGACATGTTCCAGTTGATCGAAAATGATTTACCAAAACGGGACCCAACAGAAGGTTTCTCTTCCAGAACGCTCCTTGATTGTGTTTAATTGTACATTGATGTTGCGCTGAGTTCAAAAATTGAAATTACACGCAGAACGACTTGTTTAAAGACTCAGTTTATCTTTCGGAGGAAACCAAAGATCTGTAATGTTTTATTAGTATTCAGAATTACTTCCTAATATATTGTGATATTTTTACCCAACAGACGAGTCAGGAAGATATTTTTAATTTACCCTCATCGCTTTGTAGCGATACGTGTTGGTCACTTAATATTCAGTTAGTAATGAATAATGTTATGAATAATATTAAGTTCTAATATAGAAATAAAATATATATAATACAGTAGAACGCTGATTATTCGCACTAAAGGAGAACTAAGGGAAACAAATCAGATCGGGTAAAATTTAATATACAAATATGGATGTTTATTGCATGAAAAGATCGGGCAATAGCATAAATAAATATTTAAAAATTTTGTTCACCAAGAATAGAAAACGTTATATGTCTACAATTTTATGTTTTGAATTATCTTCACGTATGTCTAGTCCAGTGTATCATATTGTCAATTAAGACATAATTTACTTTAAAGTCGTTTAAGAGTAATGGACAGTATGTTTCCCCGTGCTTCTTGCAAACTATGTAATTAAGATGATCGACGTTTCCGATAATTGGTGTTCTACTGTAATATAATTTAGCCATTTGTGTACTTTGTGTTCGAAAAAATACTTCATAAACAGGCCGAAAATGGATGACCGTTCGTACGAATGTTTACGTTTCCGAAGGAAGTGGCGGGAAAAATTTAAAAGGCGATACTCCGAAAAGTATGGCGGGCAACTACGTGATATTTAGAATCGTCGGTACGACGAATAAATTCAGCTCCAGTGACTCGGACAGCTTTCGCGAGTAAATCGAGAAAACCTTCCGATTAAAAGAAAAAATAGACGAAATTCCCGTGGGCGCGTAAACTTTCTTTCTCGCCCACGTGTCTCTTGTCGACCGCGGTCGGATCTTAGAACTTCGGATCTATTGCGACATTACTCGCGCATGACACGATATCGGGCAAAATTGTTGTCTCGAAGTAAATATTTTCCGTAGATCCCCGTGACAAACGTGGCGTGTCCGACTAGATTCCTCGAAACATCTTTGAAGCAAATAAAACATTGTAATATATAAATCTTGACGTAAAGATCGACAGTAATAGTTATTAGACATCCTTCGAACCGAAAATAACCAAATACAATTTAAACGATTGTGAACAATACTATAATATTAGGTTGCTGCCTAAATTCTGTTCATCGATTTTGCGAACGATAGAAAGTCTCCTACATCCAGAGAAACTGATCATTCACGTATAATTTCAAAGACATAAAATATATTGGATAAGCATGGTATAATAATAGAATACAAACTTTTCTTTAGAAAATGAAATTACTACGTAATGTATCGTAGAAACGTTCTTGACAATTGCAACAGCCTAATGTAATGAAGCAAAAGTCAACCATAAGGTGTTTGAACTTGACCTGAACACGATTTTTTATTGTTTACAAAATTTCATACCTGGTTGGACGAAGAAATTATTAAGCAAACCCCTGGAATCCCTGTCATAACCACAATGTTGAAAAACAGAATTCAGTCATGTAAATTGACTGAGAAAAAAATGGAACGTTGCATTAACGCAACAATTTGTCTTTAATTGTTTAATAATTATTTGAGATAGTTCAGATGTAGTAAACGTAAGAATAATAGTCAATTCTCTTCGAAATTCCAGTTTAAATCTGCCGGCACCGAATACATATTCCAACAGACAATGGCGTCTGGGTCGGGTCAGACCCGTGGAATGTTTACTTATAGGTACTTAAAGTAGAATGCAGATTATCAGAAATGTCAGTTATCCCAAATACCGATTATCGGAATGTAGAACGAGACACAATTTATATTTAATTATTTAAATAAACATTAGTTTTAAAAAAGCAACGAAAAGACATTGTCCATTACTCTTAAGCGAATTTAAAATTAATTATGCAAAGTTTTACTTGATATTACAATATATACCGGATTTGGAATACGTAAAGATAATCCAAGATACACAATTGTAGACGAAGATGATATTATTTTATCTACTCTAATTCAAGCACATTATCGATAAAGCTGAAGAAACGGTCGTTAGGTGCCTTTTAACCCTCATCCATCCCTCATTTTCCCAATTTATTTTTTCTCTCGACAAATTGACTCAGTGGTAAAACATTAATATAATGAAAAGATAAATAGTTAAATTTGCAAATTCTTTAAAAGGAGTCACTGAGTCTCAGTTAAATTTACCTACACATGAGAGAATAGTGTCATTTGTTAGAAAAAAAATGTGTCCAATTGTCACAAAGGACAGATGAGGGTCAAATGATTGTTTGTGTTATTATGCGATTCTCCATGAAATAAACATTCATCTTTCCAAATTACATTATTTTTAATCGCTCCATGATACACACTGAACTTCAGTTCTCCTGGATCGATTATCCGAAGAACTGCTTATCCAAACGGATTTGTCTCCCTACTAACTCAGATAATCGGCGTCCTACTGTATATCTTAACCCTTCAAGTAGTTACCGGGTCCGTTTGAACCCGAGTGCTTAAAAGCCGTATCTAACTAATCGATTTGTAAATATAATTTAAGCTAGAACTTGTCTCAAAGAAAGTTGCCAAAGAAGTTCATATTTAATCATATAAAAAAAGGAGGTGTTTTTAATGCTCATGTTCGAAAGTTATGTTTAAAAAGAAGAAAGAACAAGGTTTCAAACGAACCCAGACACCACAGTCTCTACGAACATTAAAAACGTCCGTACTCCGAGCTTTAAACAAACTTTCCATCGCCAGTACAATTAATTTATTTTAATGGAATAGGTAATTCCTGCCGTCGTTAACATTAGGTATACGGGACGCGTCATTTTGACGCATTTCGAATTTGACGAGATCATAAATTGTGTATTAAATAAAATAAGTTATTTTATAAAGAAAATCTGCGGTTTCGTTGACGCGTGTCCGTAGAGGTAGGTATAATATAAATGTCCGTAAACCTAGTGTTAAATATCGAAAGTCAAACGGAAAGCTTATAAACTGTCTTTCTATACCTAGGTCCGAAAGGACCCACGAATTATTGGTATCGGTGGTTAATAACGAAAATAAGTTAGTGAATAGTGAAGTTTGAGGTGAGCTTGGACGATGTTGCAAGAGGGTACGATGCGTTTTACAGTATGGGCACAGGGCGACTTCCGGGACGAGACGAACGAGGGTTTGGCGAGGCTCGATTCGACGGGTCACGGAGCTCACACCCCCGGCGGCAGCAACCCCAGTAAACAGGGCGCGACAAACACGGCACCCTCCGGTGGATTTTCCACCGCGCCGCCCAGATCTCGCACGAACACGACGCACAGGCCGGATATCCGAAAAGGTACGCCTTCGCCACTTTACGAACAACTTTTCTATCGCCCCCATTCATCCCCTATATTTCCTTTGTCTGTAATACGTTCGCTCCAAGAGTTTCTGCTGGCTGAAAGTTAGTTACAGTACCGGACAAACACCTTTTGCTGTATCACAGTAGGACCTCGATTATCGGAACGAATAGGGAGACAAAAGTGTTCGGATAACAGAATTTTCGGAAAATAGAACGATAAATTTTATCGCGTGACATTTCATATATTTTAAGTATAATGATAGAACTGGACGAAAATGGGATACGTTGTATAAAATTTTATTGGTCCCGTATTTTTTTAGCCTCTATATTGTATAAAGTTTTTAACACTTGTGATTCTGTAGACTTGCATTCCCATTGTTGAACCATATATTGTTTCGAGGGCATTATAGCGGTACTTGTGATTGCGTAGAATGTTAGATCCATACTGAATTATTGTGAAGAGATTTTGTATGGATCGTTACATAGATAGGAGGAACATACAGGGTGTTAACCTTAGATTACGAAAGTGTCGTCAAAATTACGATTTCAAAATACAAAATTGTTAGATAGCTTATATGTCGTGCATATAATATTAACGTTTGTCCTGGCTGAGTTCTTTAATTGTTTAAATTATTTTTTAAAGTTCTTACAAAGTGTAATTGTTCCAAAGGTTTGTACCAAAAGGTCAATGAAAATATTATTTCTTCACGTTACACAGGGTTTGCTTCAAGTAGCAAATTTTATAAAAGTTTCGTAATAACGTAATTCACAGTGACGTATTGTAATCTAGGGTTAATAAAAATGTGGGATACTTTCACAGGGTGGATTCTAAATGCAAAACTAATTTTAAGACGAAAATCAAGAATGACGAAATTGCGTTCACGGTTTCGTTTCCGAGTTATTAATTGTTGAAAATACGTCTAACTCGAATTGGTTTCATTCATTTCATTTTATTTCATGCATTAGTTTCACTGAGTTATCGATCGATCCCATGTATCAACTGTGGGCTGTTCAAGTAGTATAACCCATCAGCTTAGACGCATTTCATACTTACCATATTTTCAACAATTAATAACTGGAAAATGAAGCCTTGAACGTACTTTCACCATTCTTGAGTTTCGTCTTAGTTTGGCGTGTAAAATCCACCCCGTCACTGTGTCCAACATTTTTATTAACACCCTGTATATTTCGCCAAAATTTAAGACTAACGACTTTGGGCTGAAAGTTAAAGTTCCTTTAGAATTTAGATGATTTAATCAGCAAGACATCACGAACGAAATAAAAGACATGTTAATATCGTGTAATTAATTGTCTCGAAAATGAAAATTAATACGTACACCCTATTGTATGATAATTGACAAAGATCCTAAACGTATCGTGAATTTTAACTTACCTCTTTATTTTACGTGGACTACATTTTGTTTGAATTTCGTTGGAACCTTTCTATCGAGTTATTACACGTTTTCCTAATTTTTTTAATAATTTCTAAGGTAAATAAAAACTCTTATTTATTATATTTAATTTATTATTATTATATGTTATTATATCTCTGTTATCGTTATATCTTCCGAATCGAATAGTGCTACTTACATTTCCATTATTCTTTCGTAAACAGATAAACATTAAATAGTTCTAAAAGAAACTCGATGTATTCACCAATAGTAGGTACTCAAATATTCACTGCATAGTGACAATCAACATCTGCAACACGATTAATTATCATACTTAATACATGGTTTGATTGAAACCCGTTAGCAACGAAATATATTGTGTTAAAGCGTATCAGGACAAAAATACGATTCTCTTTTCTATAATCACGCTTTGTGGATCGTCTTATAGTCACGTCGTCACCTCCACCATAACCTAGTGCTAGCTGACAGTGGGCGGGTCTTGCGTCAATCTCGCCAATTCCGATAAAGAGAGATAGTGACCATCGACTGAGACACGACAGAACCGAGTCGCTAGCCAAGGAAACGGTCACAAAATTCTATTCCTCGTTCTCTATGTATAACCACGTCGCTAGTCCCGACCAGTCCAAGAGTAGAAACCGAATTATTCTGCATATTAAAGCATTTTGTCAACGATTACTTTGAGCTTTCAATGGTCAAAACGCGACAATTAATTAGCGCGTTCTGCTTCAGTTTCAGTGATAAATTCTTGATTTGTTATTTCAATCGAACGAGTTAAACATGATTAAGTATCAAATTTCAAAGTGTCTAATAACACTTAAATGGTAAGTTAAATTGTGTAATATATAATACAATACAGTATAATGCAATATAAAGTACATAAAGAATTAAAAGTTAACATAAAGTCCGTTGGAAATGACTCTAGGATTTCAGTAATTGTAAAATAGAAAATCTGAAATCCGTCATTTTAACGGGTTCGGTAGTTCTAGTGTTAATTCCTTGAGTTTCTGTATGACGACTATTAATCGTAAGGATTTCAAAGGACAGACTAGTGGCACCTATCCACCGGTTATAGTACAAAGACTCTTGCAAGAGCTATGGAATTCGGAGGCGTAGAAATTTCTCATGATCATCCAGGATTCTCTCTGGCCCGTGATATCAAATGATAATAGAGAGTGTCGTCGGGTGCACCGGACGAAAGGCGAGGAAAATGCTGCCGTCGTCGTTTGTTTGCACGTTTGTTCGGCACTTAGCTCGACGCTCTCGCAGCCGCCCCCAAATCCCCGCAAATTGAAATATCTCTCCGAGTCTTACTCCGGGCCTGGTTAACAACAAACCCCGGGGACGGATCTCACTTCACTCGTTGTAATCCCGAGACGAGGGCGAAGCCTCTCGTGGCTCCTTACGCGAGTCCAGCACGTTCCTGGATTTAAAATTCCTCATTGTCTAACTGCTTCTTTCCAGACGCTTGTAATAAACAAACGAAACAAATTATTAAGAAGGACAATTTCGATAAACGTTTCGGATGTGGTACCGAAAAGGTTCAGCTTCCGATTGTCATGAAACCGAGTTGGGAGAAATGTAATCTAATTACAAAATCTAAATCGCATTTACAATATAGTTGCATTGCAATCACGGGACAATTACAATTATATTGTAATTTTACAAATACATTGTAATTTTTATTGTATTACATTGTAATTGTGATTTGTGTTAGGTCTCCATAGGTTAGGTAATTAGGTTACATTTTGCCTAACTATGTCGTGAAACTTGGTAAAATCGTCGCAAATATATACTCACAAATGAACATATCGATCATTTGCTGTAACAATTACATAACTCAAAATTTTCAGTGCTTAAGTTGTTAGTATAGAAAAACTGTTATAGAAAATGTCAACTTGTATTCAGACAACACAGATCCTTCAAGGTTTTTCGAAAAAATACTGAATTTGCACCAAAAAAATAGTGGATTATTTACATATAAATAACGCTCAAAAATGATTGTGGTTGTTTGAAGTTCGTGCGACGAAATTTCCCGAATTTTTTCCAGTGACGAACATTCACAAGTACCGATACTGTGCCTTTCTAAATTCTCATAAACGATTCGAACATACACACATTATCAAGCCTCGACACTATTTTCGATGTACTTGATCCCACCGTTGGCTAATACTAAATAAATTGAAACACGGCGATAGAGGAATGATCTCCGGGCGGAGCGTTCGTCGGTATCAGTGCTGCGACCTTATGCCCGTTATGCGCCTCTGCAAACAGAGTAGGGTCGTTCGGCCTAAAAGATAGTTAGCGGCATCATCAGACGCAGTGATAGCGGTAGTCTTTGAAAATTAAGGCAATCGATCACACGGCTGTCAATGGGAGCAAGGGTAGCTCTGGCGATTTGCTGCCATGGAATTAGGGGGCGGATTGCCCTCACCTGTCACTGTCGTGACAAACATATTCGTGTTACTTACCTACTACTTACTAGGCGATTACGATTCCATACGCAGAATCGGTCATGTTGATAAACATTGTCACGTAACCTTCGCGGTCTTACGGAAATCTTTGCTCGCATCGACAAACCATTTTCAAGAAACAAAGTGATATTATTCGTTAATTATTAGGTTTACGGCTAATAAAGGTCAGTACTTTTTTACTCAAAATTTAACGCTCTTCGATATTTTGGCATAAAAAATATAGCATTCCATTAAAAAAAAACAAAGTTGTCCTTCAAATCACCGATACGCCTCCCTTAACAAAAAAAAAATATGCATTACATAATGTATCTCTCCAAACCATACAATTTTTTTATAACAAATGTTTTCATACAATGTATACTTTAGAAGTTATTCAGGGTGAACAAGTTGCATAGACCACCCTGTATATGATTCACAAGAACATTTTCACATATTGAAACCTTTGAATCTCATTTTTCATTCGTTGCCGTTTTACAACATTTTTGCTTTTATCAAAGTTATATGTAACAGTTCCCATTATAATGTTATTATATGTAATAAGACCCTATTTTTCTTACTTCCGATCAATAAACCCTTTTGAAATATTTGAAAGAAATTAGTGTTTTGTAAGTTTTTATTATATTTGTAATGATACCCAACACTTGAATTCCATCAAATGTAAGAATTTTTGTGACGAAGAACCCAATAATGTCCTATTTTACCGATAAGCTTTTAAATGCACATTAAAATTTGTGCCATGCGATCTGTACAAGACTCGAAGAAACTGTTATATACTCACATATATAAAAATATACACGATACTAATATTTTATTTCGTAATTTAGAATATATAGCCATAGATATAGCAACAGTGGAAATGCAAGGGTCAACTATTTAACTGTATTAGAAATCTAACTTTTTAGACATCTGTGATTATTAAATAGTCAAATAATAAAACATTCCTCTCTATGAACGTTAAATTCTACGTACAATGCGCGCATAGAACAGGAATGTTTATTCGCCCGGTGAAATAATAATCTCTGTTGGGCCATGTTTGCATACAGTAAGCGTTACCGTTTTCGTAGAGAATGTGATATCGTAACACGTTTCAGGTGTTCGGACACCGACAGAGGTGAAACACGAACTGGGTGCCGGCGGAGGGGTGGTTTCTCCCGCGGGTATTGCTGGCGTGAACGACGCGGACGATAAGGACGGGAAAAAGAACAAACGGCAAAGGCGGCAGAGGACGCATTTCACGTCGCACCAGCTCCACGAGCTGGAGGGTTTCTTCACGAGAAACCGGTATCCGGACATGCCGACGAGGGAAGAGATAGGTCAGTATCTCCGCCTTCAAGAATCACGAGTCAGGGTAAGTAACAACATTTCAACAATTATGTCTTGTATCTTTAAAAAACCTGATAGCGGATCCCCCTAGGATGCATGATAAGAGGAATGAGAAAACGATCAGGAATTCCAGAATTTTATGTTGGCGATTAATGTAGGAGAAGAATAGGTTATTGAACATGAAGTGGCCGATTTTATTGATGACTCGACTTTACTTTAATTTTATAAATGAGAATTAACCTTTAACTACAGACCATTCGTCTGAGAGATGATTTTTTGTTACAATGAAATCTTAAGCCCTTTCAAGGTCCATTGGTGTAACATGTCAGGTACAAAAATAGAAACTTTGTTACATACAGTGCCACTCAGAATTATTCGAACGATATGTCTTTTGGAGTTAACATTTGGAGAAACATATCGTCGTTCTAGTTCTTAATTGTTCTATGTCCACTAGCCTTTGGACTGAGAAAACTGAGTTTAAAGTTTATGAAGTTTAATATTATGGAAGCAGGAAAGTAGTGAAATAATCAAATGTACTATAAGTATTTGGAGATACGACCATTAAGAAAAAAAAACTTTCAAAATTTCGAAGTTAGGACTTAAAAGAATATTTGTTGTTCCCTAGGTTGAATTTTTCTTTATATTATGGTGACTTTATATTTTTTGGACCAGTGAGACGCACGTAGATTGATGATTAGACTGCTGATTTTATGCATTTATAGCTTATAGGTCTCTGTGAAATATAATAACGGCCAACATTTTCGTTAAATGCAACGAGTTTTCTGTTTTCTTTTGAGCTCAATAAGATACTTATAGGAAGAAATAAATTCCTACTATTGTTTTTGTCTTTATGAACAACTTTGTAACATGTAAACTAATAGACCGTCTTGTGACTACTATAAACAGTTTGGGATTTTCCGTTAATTTCGTACTCGCTAACCACAATGTTCTAGAGGAAAGTAGTTTCAGAATTTATTTGTTCAATCGTACCAAAATACTTTTATAACCAGATACAGCAAGTGTTAGAATTGACAGATAATGTGTAGGTACTGAACACAATAAGGTGTTATTTCCGCTAAAATATATTTGGAGCTTGAACTTTCATTCTTATTTTAATAGAACGAAAAATTTGGAATTAATTTCTGGAATGTCTAATGGAAACATTATTATTAAATTTTAATAATAGCCTATCTTTACATATGGTTCTAATTAATTTGATCCTCTTCACACCTCCCTTTTTAACATTATTATCTGTAAAAAAACAGCGTTTAAAATTTCTTGCTACTTCTTTCCGAATTACAATTCCTGCAAGAGATCATAATGTAAATCGTTTAACGTCATGCATCCTAGGGTTAATCTGAACCAAAATCAACTTTTGCTTCCTGAAATGTGCAACTCACAAGTAATAACTGCATCGATAATAACTTGATAACTGATATTAAAGTACGATTCATTTAAATATTCAATATCTAACAAACTATTGATCAAAGGATATTTCAACACTGATAACAAGGTATTCCCAAAGTACCACATTTCGTTACACACTTCTTCAAGTAAATACTGTCTATGATTGGAATTGGTTCGAAAACGTTCGAACAGATTTTCACGTTTCCGGTTTATCGGAAGTAATCACGGTGACTTTTTCTACCAAGAATCGCGTCGACTAAAGTTACCGACCTCGGTCAATCCAAGCTAAATGACTCAGGGCTGGCATCGTGACTAATTGGTGTGGATCAAATAAACGTGCAAAATGAATCGACGTTTGCTGTCAGACACTAAAATTCTTCTTTTTTTTTTTACGTCGAAACGCACCGCTATCGCGTTCCTCCCGTGTTATCGTCCGATCAAACCTCTATCGATCATACTTTTGATTCTGGACAAACAATTTCGCGGCAACGGAAACGTTACTATCTATTTTAATCACGATATATCGCGTCCGCGTTGCAAATGACTCGCCAAACGTGCATGTTATTCGGAGCGTTCCGCGTCGCCCGGGCTTCAATCCGAGCAAGTTCGATTCGAGTCGATCGAAGCAGCAACAGAAGCCTACAATGGATGCATTGATGCCATAAAATATCGATTACAAAGCCAACAATTCATGCTTTTCCTGCCTTGATACCTCGAGGTCTCGTGTTTACGGACATAGTCACGCCGGAAAATGCCACTTCTGCTAACGGACGTTAACAACTTTATGGAAATTCTCTTGAAATTTAGTGACGGTGATCGTTCTTAACAATTTTCTCGAGAAAGTAGTCGTGTGAGAACAAAATACAGAAATTATTTTCATGGTTGGATTACGAAATCAGGGATATTATTCTATTGTTAGAGAATGTTACAGAAAATTTATCAATAATTATTATTAGATTGTCACATATCAAAATCACTGATTTTATTAACAAAAATTTTCAGTGTTAGTTTTAAGGTTATAATCTATGCTTCTCATTAACGTACATTTATTTTATCGGTTTTTATATTCTGATTTCGAGATAATACGTTAAAAAGTCGCACGGTTTCGAATGAAATTAACAAGACATCAAAGGATTATTTTCTGTTTTTTTTTCATTACAAAGTGTACCATACAAAATATAATGATTAGGCGAATTACTGCGAATATTTATATGATTTTAATAGTAAAGCCAACAAATTTTAAAAGACTGAAGATAAGTTTATAACGTAATATATTAATCTAATAGATTTTTGTACGAATGTTCGGAGTAGTAATGGATAGGGTTGTTCTAACGGTTAGAACTGGTATGGCAGAGGGCAGGCGCGAGCGGGGTCACGTGGGATTGCGCAGAGCTCACAACCGGAAGCTTTGCGCCGGTAAGCCCTCCTGGATTTATAGAACCACACCAGAGCATGGCACGGTGTTCCCGCCACGGGTGCTACACGCCATGTACCAAAATGCTGCAGATCCCGACTATCGCGAAACCACGGATGAGTCCGCGAATCGTAACGTTCCCACAGTGGCGCTCTTCGACATTTTTTCCTTTTACTTGATTTTACTAATACCGGCTCGGTGCCGTGTATTTTAGGACGGGGTGATCGTGTGGAATTAATGCTCGCTCCTATACCGGCTCATTTCGCGGCTTATTGGTACTGTTACTGTCTGGTTTGTTGATTTTGTTAGCTTGAGGGAAAGTACATGATTGGCCAGCTTTCATAGCGCCATAGATCTATGCAAGGTAGCCTGTGTATATGTTTCAATTAGAGCTCTTACTATCCAAATATCCGAGTACAGTAGACTTACATTAAAGTAGCGGTGCGGGGCTCTCGAGGCGGGTTTTTCCTGGAAACGTTACTTTAACGTGAGCCAATGGGCATGCAGGATCTTGTGGAAGTTCGGTCGATCCACCAATTGGATCAGAACTTTGGTTATAGATGGCGACCGATAGTGGAGTGCGCGCACGTGTGTGAATAATGCGTGTGAGCTGGGGCGTTCCTACGGCTACTTTAATTACTATATAGCGGTTTTTTATGCAAAATAAAAATTCTAAAGTAATTTATAAAGACAGGAGCAATTGTAAAAATTTATTTTTCTGCTTAAGCATCTTATTGGGTTCAGAATAAAATAGAAAATTCGTTGGATCCGATGAAAGTTTTGTTTTTTATTGTATTTCACAGAGCTCTGTAGGCTATAAATGCATAAAATTCGCATAATAATCGTCCCTGATGCGAACCAGTATGGTTGTTCAACTCGTTGAACCGTGATGTCATTCTTCGGTCGAAATTTCTGCGTTATACGAACTTCGAGATACTAAAATTTACGGGGCGCGATTGCGCCGCATTTAGTCAGTTCTAGTCATTGCGTTACGCTTAATTAATCCCGCTGCAACATTTAATGCTCGCCGATAAATGCGTCAAAGCTTATCTATTTTGTCCGCGGATTTACCCGGAATTCCGGATAAAACCTGAACGGCGATTCAACCAGTGTACACAGTGAATCGTTCGAATCGGAAAAGTCCGATCTTTCTTTCGACAAATGCTGACATTGAGTCCACGTTCCCTTTCGTGATTATCTAGACAATTATTCAAAGGATTCTACTGTATTTATGAAACATGATAAGATTTGTATTGTCATTAATTGCGGAAAAAAGGTATTATGTTATTTAGAATTTGATTTTATTGAGATTTCTTGTCTTTTGTACAACCATGTCAGATAACATGTGTACACTTGTGTCTCTAAGTATCGAGGCTCTTGTCAAATGTGATGATTTAAGAGCTTCATCAATTTAATAATGATTTAAAACATCATTACTGAAGTGATGAAGTTTTTGAATAAGTTTTACCTATGACATGTTAGAGTTTAATGCAGTACATATACTGGTGCTCAGATACTTATGAATGAGAGTATGTATTGTGAAGTAGCGTTTTATCAAAAATAAAAACGTTATCTGTGATTATAATTTTTTATACATTGTAAAAACGTTCCAAAACTCATAATGCATCTCTATGTTTGAGTCCTCAATATTTTGAGGAATGAGGTCGTATCTGAGAAATGAACAAAACTCGATTCTTACAAAAATGCAAATTTCATATTCTTTTTTTACAAATTCGCGTAAATGAATGTAATATTCTTATATAGCATATACATATAGTGTCCAGTATGGGTCACGTGTGACCCGGCTATAGGCTTTTACGTCTGTTATGCAAGGGTTAAACCACAGTATAAAACACTTAAATATTGTTTCTGTTTGCAAAAAAACAGTAATATTCGAGAAAAGTTGCGTCCATTTTTGCTACCAACGCACACAATTCTACCCATACTTCAAGTTAAACTTACAACGTCGGTTTCTTTTAACGTACATTCATTTAACAAGTTTTAACATACTTCAAGTTAAACTTACAAACACGGTTTCTGCAGTGTCCATTCCATGTTCATCCACTGCATGTTCCATTCGTCAGTACCTACCCGCCATACTCTCGTGGAACTCAACTTCCGGTTCACTGCGGCTCCGTAGTCTGCGTCAACATAGCCAGGAGTGACCCGGAGTAGCACATAGTCTGGCTGCAGGAGATATTGAG